CATGCCATATTCAGTCTGGACCGGACCTTGATACTAGCACAGTGCGGAGCCCTCTGAACCTGTTGACACTGCAGAACCATACTCGGCCCAGATAATTTGTGGCTGTCTAAATGCACCTTTTAAGTAAGCTCAGTTATTTTGTCTTTGCACTGGGCCAAGAAGTTACTAAAAATATGAAACTAGTGTTAAGACATGACCACAACCATGTAATGTTTTGCTGTTTTATCTTAAGGTTTACATGTGTTTTTGTTTTTCTATTTATAGACAGAACTCTGATTTAAATGATAAGTTTGCTACTGCAGTTTTACATCATTCGTAAGTTATTAGTTTTCTTTTCTCAACTCTCTTATTGGAACTGTGTTGGAACTTTTCTCTGCATTTGTTTATTGTTCTCAACTTTATATGGATGTTAGCACTTGGTTTGGAACTTTGTTTTGAAAGCATTGGCATTTTCTCTGCATTTGTTGGGACTTTGCTCTGCATTGGTTGGGACTTTGCTCTGCATTGGTTGGGACTTTGCTCTGCATTTGTTAGCACTTTGCTCTGCATTCTTTGGGGCTTTGCTCTGTTTTGTTGATAAAAATGATTATCTTTATTTCAGGCGCTCATTATTAAGTAAAGTATTAACAGCATGGCAAGCTTACGTTCAACATGAAAAGGTAAGTTGGACACATAATAAAGTGATCAAAAACCAGAGATAGGACTGGGTATCGATTAGCAAATTGAGGTTGATTATCGATGGCACACTACAGATCAATAATCAATTAATAATCAAAATATTTCATTGAGAAACCCGGTAAATACTAAATTAAAAACATTTTTAATTTGATGGGTTATTTTTGTATCATTGAAGTATATTCTTGCTTTGATCTGTTATTATAGTTTAATGTGGGTATGTTTTGTATCATTGAAGTATATTCTTACTTTGATCAGTTATTATAGTTTATTGTGGGTATGTTTTGTATCATAGAAGTATATTCTTACTTTGATCAGTTATTATAGTTTAATGTGGGTATGTTATGTGTTATAGAAGTATATTCTTGCTTTGATCTGTTATTATAGTTTATTGTGGGTATGTTTTGTATCATTGAAGTATATTCTTACTTTGATCAGTTATTATAGTTTATTGTGGGTATGTTTTGTATCATTGAAGTATATTCTTGCTTTGATCTGTTATTATGGTTTATTGTGCGTAAGTTATGTGCTGAAGGGAACCTATGTAGAAGAAATTACTATTTGTTAATGGGTACAGTGGAGAAAATAGAACTTTGACATAAAATTGATTATGAAATTTGATAACGTTAACATCTA